AATTTGAATCAGTCCAAATTGACATCATGTGTAATGGTTAAAGCCGGCTAGACTGCACTGGAAATGCATTTATTAAATCTTTATATGTGTTATTATTTTGTACATATATTAAATTTTTTATACACACTTCAAATACTATCTCCTGTAGTGAAAACCAGTAAAATCTTATCTCTGACACTAACAAGACAAAAACTGTTAGAACTTGGTTGAAAAGTTTTCACTTATCTGTCACATTAACACCAATGATCTCACCCTCAGATTATCATTTGTTTTAGTCTTTAGAGAATGTAACAAAAAAAATTTAATTTTCCAGAAGACTGTGTTGTACAGAGATATGTAACATAGACCTCATTTAAAGTGAATGAAGCATACAACAACATAAATATATGAAAAGTTAAAAAAAACACAAAAGTCTTCTTATAAAAACACTTGCATATATATATTTTATATTCAAAATTCTTAATACAAGGTTAGCATGTATCTACTTGCAAAAGACAATGTACCAAAAACAATATGAATTTTTGTACTTACCTGTTTGGATTGTCACAAGCCTGAAATGCGTGTGTCCTGTTTCTATAACTTCAAGGAGCAAAAAAAGGAGGAGTGACTTTCCCTCCTAACGATGTCTCATGTGGGTCTTGTCAGATCATGTGACTGTTTTTTATTCTTGTGGATATTTATAATTAATTTTTATTGCTATTTTTGTTTTGGGTCAAGGGGAGATAATTTCTTGTCTCTCACTACAAACCTCCCTGCCTTGTAGCGGAGTCTAATAGTAGTGATATTGGTTGTCTCTTTTCCAAGAAATTTTTTTTCTTGTTTTCGTATGACTAGGCTTACTATTTCTGTCTATGTTTCATTATTATATATGACTATGAGGTTACTTTTCTGTTCTTACTTGCTTATCACTTTTAGGTTCAACATGTGGTTCTAATCTATCTATAGGTACTGTTGACTCTATTTCATTGTTCATTTTAATTACAAAATATTTCTGAGTTCCATATAATACTTGGATGGACCAATGAAAAGAACTTCAAGAGGCTTGTAAACTCTGTCTACTCTTAGCCATACACTTTTACATGTCTTAAGCTCATCAAAAATGTATTGATGTGATTTATTTACAGAGCTATAATCTTTGTCTGTTGAATGTAAGGTATGTTGTATCTCCTTAGCAAACTTCTAATTATCTATGTTATCATTTATATCATCTATTAGCAACTGAGGAATCATTGTATGTGTTTTTGTAACTGTAAAGCAGGTTAAAGTATTGGAAGAATTAGGTGCGACACAGATGCCCATTAATATTATTGGAAGGGCATCCAGCCATGATTCCTTTCTAGCTATTAATGCTATCTTATTGTTCTATGTGTACGTCTGATCATTCCATTCATTTGCAGATGGTAACTAGTCATGCACAATCTATAGAAGCCAACTATTAAGGCTATATCTAAAAAAAATCATTCTTAAACTGAGTACCACAATTGAAGTGGAACACACCAATGTATGAATGAATGCATTGGCCACAGATCATGCTGTTATATCTGGTAATAGTTCTGCTTTAATCCACTTAGTTGTGCGGTCAATAAAGGTTAAAATGTATCTGTAAGGAGCATTGCATGTTTCATAATGTCCCCTAATAACAGGGGTTGGACCAATTATATCCAAGTGAACCATATTAAAGCGAATAATAGACAATTAAATGTGATGAATAGCAGATTTAGTATGTCTCTAAATTTTGCTTTTCTGGTAAGCATTCATTACACATTTCTTTATTGTCATCCATATAAGACCCCAAAAATCTTGTTTTGATAAGTTTACACACGGTTTTAATTGATGGGTGTAATATTACATGAATACTATCAAAAATAGATTTTCATAATTCACCAGGTATATATGATCTGGGAATACCAGTAGTATTATCACAGTATATGGAAGTATTATTATCAGTACTAAAATTGTATTTTTTTAAGTCTTGAAATTTTTATAACTCACAATCCTTAAGTTGTGCAGCAGCTATAACTGGCAAGTTACACAGATCTACCATAACTGCTAGGGTAGGTTTAGACAACCAATCAGCTATAACATTTTGATCTCCCTTTATGTGGCCTATATCTGATATATATTCTGTGAGAATTGCTAATTGCTGCTGCTATCTAATTTAGCAGGGTTTAGACCATGGAATGCTCCACACAAAAGCTTATGGTCAGTTAATAATAAAACTTGTTTTCCTTCAATAATATGTTTAAAATATAATGTCACTGAATATGCTGCAAAAAGACCCTTATCAAATGTCAAATACCTCATTTGAGATTGAGTTAACTTTTTAGAGACGATGCCTATTGGAATTGGTACTCCATCTACTATTTGATGTACCAATTGTATAATTACATAATTACTGCTATCAGTAATCAACTGATATTCAGTACATTCAGACCATTGGTGATCTAAAGACAGAAATTCACTGATTTTGCTTTTAATATTGTTAAATGATTGCAATTCCAAGTCATTTAATGTAAATGTAGTGTTACTGCATATATGTATTTTTTCTGTTAATAGCATGACTATGTCTGCAAAGTTTGGGATTAATTTTCTATAAAAATTTACCATGCATTATAAATGACAAAGTTTCTTATTGTCCTTAGGAGTGGGAAAATTCTTTAAAGCACTAACATTATTTTTGTTTAATACCATCAGAGTTAATATTATAACCTAAAAAATCAACTGAAGTCACATCAAATGTTGACTTTGCTATTAAAATTTTTAGATTATCATGTAGGATTTTTATAAGTTTTAACATTTTTATGTGTACTGAAGAATCATTGCTGAAAATAAGAATATTGTCAATGTATGTAAATACAGTCAACAAGTTGAAAAGTCTTGTCCATGTATCTTTGAGGAGAAATAAGTGCTGTTTTTTTATATCATCTGGGTGCATTTAGATTTGATGGAGTGCTGATACCAGATCGATTTTGCTAAATCTTGTTTTGTTGGCTAGTTTATCATCAACTGAATTAATGTTCAGGATGGGGTATCCTTTTAGTATCTTCATTTAAATACCAACAAGAATGCCGAAAGACCAAGTTAAAATACATTTTTAAAATAAATTCACATATTTTAAGATTAAATAGGCATTTGTGCAAACACAAAATGCCTTTTACAAACCCTCTAGAACCGTAATCGTGGCAAACAACTAACCCAAAACTACTAGATATCATCAGTACTATAACACATGCAGAGAGTAAATTTACCCCCCAAAATCTCCTGCTTCATTTTTTTTTATTTCTCATTGAGAACTCTATCTTGAGAACAAAGGCATTAAACATTTAACATTTCTCATCATGCTTCTATTTGGTCAAAAAGTCTACTAATATACAATAATTATTACTAGTCTTATCAATATTATTATTTTTTTGTTGTTTTTTATCTTAAATTTCTTTCATCAGCCTACTGTATCTACTCAGGTCTGTCTGGTCCAGAAACTATTCAGTGTTTGTGTAATTAATCAGAGTGAACCTTCCTGCATATGTTGAGTTCAAAATCCAGTCAGGTTCATTACACTTATTTACACTCAAATACCCTTGGGAATCTTCTACCCACAGCTATGGGATAAATAGTAAGACTTGTGTCTAAAAATCATTGTTATTCTCAAAGCATTATTAATACCATATACACTTGCAAAAAAAAAGTTATTCTTACAATGCAATGTGTTAGGTTTAAATAACCCACAAAAGACTGCAGTGTCATACAAAAACAATCCAATTCTTACAATCCAAAATGTTTTAGGTTTAAATAACCCACAAAAAACTGCAATGTCATATAAAAACAAATCAATCAATCCTGCATATGTGCAAATACACACTCTCTAATAAGGTCAGCAGTGAGAAATCACTGAGTCAGCTTGTGCATTATGTGATAGTTGTATTCACAGTAAATATGCTTGACATTTTCCTGGAAACTGAGGCACTCATCTGAAGGAATTATTCAAATGATTAAGAGCACTTTTAAAGATGATTCAATGAGTGATGAACAAATAAAAGTTTGGTATAGATATTCAATCTTAGCTGGAAAACCATTGAAAGTAATCCTTATTCTGGAAGGCCTGCAATAAGCAGAACAGCCAAAAATCTTGAATGCTAGTAAAGGAAATTGGTAACTGACATTGTGAGAATTATAAGATCTAGAGATTCTGCAGATTGTATGGAAAGTATCCAGCAACAATTCCTAACATCCCATGAAGGAATTTTTGGTAAAAACATTTCAGCAACCACTTATGTTGGATACATTTCAGATTTGTCTCACTGGTGTTTTCAAAAGCCAAAATCAAAAGGAAATGATAAAGCAGTTGATCGCAATTTCTAAAGATTTTCTTGCCTATTTTGAAAAGTGTAAGGGATGATTTAATAAGTGTGTAAGTTGAGTAGTTTAAAGAGGACTAAAGCACCACTGCTCTGAATAGATTATTTTTATGTTGTCTATACTTCTGAGATGAAGTATTGTAATTATTTACACTATTTACATTGTTCAGACTGTTGTCCTCATCTTTGTTGCCATATTAATGATGTTTTGGCCATTGTACAGTCCAGCCTTCTTCAGATGATTGGAATTTTGAACTGAACCATTTATTTCATCCACTGGAATAAATTGTGCTAGTCAGCTACAGCTGAGGTGGACAAAAACTTGTAGATTTGAGTTAGATAGCTGATACTAAGACATCTGAAAGAGGTGTGGTACATGGAACTAGAGCAATCTACTCTGGTGGACGAAATAAAGGGTTCAATTTGAAATTCTAATCACCTGAAGAAGGGTGAAGCATATAACAGCCAAAACATTGTGAATATGGCATGAAAGATGAGGACAACAGTCTGAACAATGTAAATACTTTTATGTTAATGTTAAATAACTGGAGCATTTCTGAACAAACAATGATAATATGAAATAAATTTAAAAATTCCTCATATGTGCCATGTAGATGATGAGAAATAAGGAAACATTAATTATTGTTAGAAATTAACACTGATGAATAAGAACTTATGGAAATAGATGTAGATGTGAACAGATAGATAGATAGATAGATAGATAGATAGATAGATAGATAGATAGATAGATAGATAGATAGATAGATAGATATGAATAGTCAGAGATAGATTTATGCCCAATGAATAAACCGCATTATTTTGCTTGTTTGTATGTATGCTCATTAGACTTTTCTAGCTTGGATTAAAGTTTAAGATTTGCGCAGTCCCTGACTCTTCTGAGCTAGGATCAGTTACACTTTCTTACTGAGAAAACTACACATTAATATTAAGTGGGAAAATAGGAGAGGAGGTTGGGGTAAAAATTGTGTGAAGGAAGAAAAGTAAGAAGTCAGAAAGTTATAGAAAACAAAAGAAAACCAGTTGAGGAGAAAAAAATAAATAAGTAATACACACACACACACACATATATATAGAGAGAGAGAAAGAGAGAGAGAGAGAGAGAGAGAGAGAGAGAAAGGGAATGGATGTAGATGGAAGAAAGATTTAACAAGACAGGCTTGTTGGATGGATATCATGAGACAATAATCGATAGATTAAAACCCAGGTGGAGAGTTTAATATTTGCCCAGTCTTTGGCTCTTCTGAGTTACACTTTCTGACCAAGAAAACTGCATATTAATATTAACTGGGAATGAGTAGGAGAGTAGGAGGTGTAAAAAGTGCTGAAGAAATAAGAAAAGCTAGAGAAAAAAAAACCAGTTGAAAGGAATATATATATATATATATATATATATATATATATATATATATATATATATATATATATATATATATATATATATATATATATATATATATATATATATATATATATATATATATTTGTATTTAGGCAGCAAATGTTATTTAAGGCAAATACTATAAAAAAACAACAGATATTTTGTGCTGATTAATTTTAATGATCGACTTTTCCAAATTACTAATAATCCTTCTCAGATAAAGAGGAAATTCCATCAGAAATTAAGTTAATTTTGGAAGAAAAGTACAAGAAATATGGTTAAAGCTTCAACTTTCTTAAGTCATCATGGTAGGTAGAGACAATTGGCGAGTTTCTTAGTACTAGTGAGTGTTGTGACATAGGCAAAGCATGCTTTGACGTAAGCAAGGTGTGATGTGTGTGATTTTTTTATATATGCATTTGAGTATGTGAGTTCTTAAATTATAATTGCTTTTATTTATTGATGGTAGTTTTTGTTGTATGAGTATTTCTTCAAGGATCATAAATCTGTTTTTACTGTTTGATTTTACTAGTATTTTGGTATTGTTTGCGATTAGCTGTCTAATGTTACTATGATCCTCATACTGCTTATTAATGTGATGTTTGATGACACTCTAGTCTGATAGGTGGCAGGTAAGTCTCCATGAGAGTGTAATTGCAGTATATTAAATGAAGATGGAAAAAAGACATGACAAGACAGATTTGATGGTTGAATATCAAGACATTAAAATCAAAAGATTGAAATGCAAGTAGAGATGAAAAAGTATAAAAATAGTAATGCATAAAAATCCATTATGGAGAGACAGAGGAAAAGAAAGATAAGAGGATGTAATGGAAAATATTTGTGCATTCCTCATGACTTTTCATTTTTTTTCTTTTTGGTATATGAAACTAATTCATGTTTGTATAACATTTAGATATATCATGGCTGTGAAATGAAGATTGGAAGGGATAAGGATGAGAATGAGAAGATACAAGCTAAGCATGAGAGAAGAGCGAGTAATGGATAATCTTTGTTGTCAATACCATTGAAATTTTCATACATCCAGCTAAATCAATAATTAATATTTTAATACAATAACATTTCTCCACATCCCAACCTAAAGTGTATGTACATATATATATATATATATATCTTGATTTATTCACATTCATGAAGACAATTATGCGTATATTAGTATGTGCATGCACACACACAAACACAAACATATACCTACACACATGTAAACACACACACACGCTACTAATCACATAAACATCTCAATGTATGCTTCTGTGTATTAAATGTTATTTAATTAGAATAATTTTTCCATTGTTCTTTTTCCTTCTGTGAAGACATAATCAATAAAAGCAGTAAAAAAATCTCATTTTCATAATGTATTCTTTATTTTTTTTATTTTATTATTATTATTATTGAATTGATTTTTTTTAAAGTAGCTCACTTTTTATTATTTTTTGGTTTTTGCTTATTATTTTATTTTACTTAAATTTCCTTTTTGTTCTACTTTCTATATTCTATCATTTTATTTCTCTATTCTTTTATTCTTTCAATCTTATTCCTTTTTTCTTTCAATCATATTTCTTTATCCTTTTCTCCTTGGCTTTTCTCATTCTTCAAATATTTCCCTTTTTCTTTATTTCATTATTATGATTTTTCCTATTCTTTTTCGCTTTATTTGTTTTTTTCCTTCAATTGTTTATTTTCTATCCTGATTAAATTTTTAATTTCAGTTTGTTTCTTTTTTTTCTTTCCTTCATATTATTTTCTTCTTTTTGACCTTGCATTCTTCTGAGTGACAACAAAAATGAAAAGCCTTCAAATTCTCCTCTGCTACATTTTCCAGAAAACCATATCTTTTGGCTCCAGACAAATTCTTGCCAACCTCCTTTGACAGTTGAAAGAAAGAAAAAAAGAAAGAACTGAGTAAATAAGACAAAAGGAAAATTTTCAGAATAAAGCTAAAAAAAAGAAATACCAAGGAAGAACAAAAGCAAAGCAAAGAGAAGAAAGAAGTGAAGAGATAAAAAGAGAAAAGACAAGTAAAATTATGAAAGAAAAAGAAAGAAAAGCAAAATTAAAAGAGAGAGCAGGGAAATAATAAAGGTGAGATAATTGAGAGGGAAAATGAAAGAAAAGAAGAAAAATGAAATCATGGTGGAATGCAGACATTTACTGAACTCCTGATGATCATCTCCCTAATAATGCTATAATTTCTGTCTTAATCCTTGGAGTGGCTACACAAGAAAAACACAAGTTGGTTATTGCCTTAGAAAAGTCAGACTACTATTTTATGAAATATTTAAACATTTTTAATTTGGTTAAGATATGGAAGAAAGTAAAAAAAAAAACAAAAAAAAAAACAAAAAAAAAACATGAGCAGGTTCATGGGGTTTAGCAAATCAACTTGGTTCTTTGTCTCAGGAAAAGTGCAATAGCAGACCACAAATTTCATGACACAATAATGTCAATGAAGCTTTACTACCATTTCATTTGGAACAATTTTAGTCAAAAACAGAACAAAGATTTAATTGCAACATTTTTTTAGTAGAAGTAAAAAAAAAACAAAGATAAAGATAAAGAGAGAATTTGAGCAAAAGAAAGGAAGAAATAGAGAAAGAAATGCCAAAAGAAGTAAAAAGAAAGAATAGTTGAAAAATTAGAAAATAAGAGGGATACAGAGAAAATAAGTATAAGAGAGAAAGAAAAAAAGAAATAGAGTAAAAGAAAGAGAAATAAATATGAGTGACAATAATGAGAAAAGAGAAGAAAATAGAATGAAAGGAAGAGAGAAATAAGAAAAAAAAAGAGTGAAAATAAAAACAATGAAAAAGAGAAAAAGAAAAGAAAAGTGAGATCTGAAGAGAGAGAGAAAGAGAGACACCAGGTGACAACAGTCGACAGTAGCCTGTACTGATCATTGTGAAAAGGCTGTTTGTCAAGGCAAGTGTAGGCAACCATTTCAGCTGTGTAGAGAGAGTAAGGGGAGGAAGAAGACACTGGTTATTGGCGGCAAGGCCAAAATTTGGTCAGATTTGTCCAATCACAAGATTATTGAACATATCAAGAGAAGACTGAGAATGAATGCACAAATTTTTATATGTCCATATTTACAAAATAAATTAATACTTTTATGAGCAAAATAATTTATTTCAAATACACATTTATATATATGTATGTATCTGTGTTATTTTATATATATATATATATATATATATATATATATATATATATATATATATATATAAAACACAAAGACAATATATAGCTACACAATATATATATATACACACACACACACAGAGGGTGCGATGGGTAAATTGTCGCCATATTATTTATATTTTTTAATTTTAGTGCATGCACATTGTTTTTTGATTTTGCCAATTGCACAGTATAGTAGGGTCAGTTGGGCACTCTCTGTGAGAAAAAGAGCACCATAATGCAATTCACTCCACCAGAAATTTGGAAACAGCATGCTGTACTGCTTGGCATTCACACCGGAAGCTCCAATACAAACATTTCAGAGTGTTTGGGTGTCAATCTGAGGACAGTGCACAGGATTCAGAAAGAGTTGAATGAGTCTAATGGTACTTATGAAGGTGTTTGGAGTAATCACTACTGATAGCAACATTATGCCTCCATTCATCTTCTCTCAGGGCCTCAGACTCAACACAGAGGCCTACATCAAGTGCCTTGAGGAGGTAGTGCTGCCCTGAGTCAAGATGGTGGCTGCTGAAAGACCCTATGTCTGGAAACAGGACTCTGCACCATGCTACAAAATCAGGATAACCCAGTCATGGCCATCAGACAATTTCTGTGGCCACATCATCTCTTACATCTGGCCACCAAACTCCCCAGACTGCAACCCCCTTTAATTATGTGTGGTGCACAGTTGAGCAAGAGACCGACTCTTTATAACTGAAGCCAAGGATTATGGCAGCATTCACCAACTTAAACAAGGAGACCGTCCAAAAGAGTTACAGAAGATTCTGAAGTCGGCTTGAGGCTGTGGTTTAAGTCAATGGCAATTTTATTGAATAAATTTACTCTTTAGTATTTCAAAATATTTTTGTGTAAATTTGGTAAATATATCTGTAAAGATGAGATGTCAGTGTCATTTTAATTTTTGTGTAATTTAGATAACAATTTATCCATCTCACTGTGTATATATATATATATATATATATATATATATGTATATATATTGTGTAGCTATTTACTAAACTGAGAATAGACTGACACAAGGTTGTCCTTTTAGAGCATCAAATGAGAATCAAACTCACTACCCAGTTTTATTGTTTTACTAGACTAACACATTAAACATTACCACATAAAGAATTGCACAATGTATGTGTATATGTTTGTGAATACATACATGTATATCATTGGGTGTGTATGCATTTATATCTTTCTCATTCTGTTCATATATCTCCCTCCCTCTCCATCTCTCTCTATAAATGTCAATCCATTCAAAACTATCTATCACAGTTTCTATCTATCTATCTATCTATCTATCTATCTATCTATCTATCTATCTATCTATCTTTCACTAGCTTAAGAATATTTATTTACAGTAATTTTATGGGTTTCACAGTTTCTTATATTTTTACCCATGTGACATATAAAAAATTCTTTCTCATATATATGTGTGAGTGTGTGTGTGTGTGTGTGCATGTGTGCGTGCGTGTGTCTATTTAATCATATGTAACTAACTTACTATATAGAGATGAACAAAGTGAGAACGCTATCTCACTAGCTTTCTCAATTTTTTCTCTCTCTCTTTCTCTCTCTCTCTCTGTTTTAGTTTATTCATATTGATTTATCTTGCTAATCCCAAGATAAATCAATATATGTATGTTTGCTGATATAAACACATGTACAAGATATTCCCCAAAATTTTGCTGATGTTGAACACTACATGCAAACAAATGTAGTACAGACATTTAATGCTACCCATCATGAGCTTCACACCATGGAAGCCAGGGTATATACTGTATATAATATATATTTGCTTTTTATTGTTAAATACCTCAAAGCATTTTTGTAGTTCCTCATATATCTTTTTGGAGTAATTTATTTCTGTCATTCTTTGTGGGTTTTTTTAAACAGTATATTTAGATAGCAATCCTTTGTTTAAACATGTTGCATTAATTAGTATTGCTAGGGAATGTCAAACATTATACTGGCAATTTTTCAACTTCTGTCCTTGAAAATGACCAGCAATATTTAGAAGTGTCCAGAACATCACATACAATTTTGCTAAGTTACTTTACAAGATTCCACCTGACATTAAACAACTTATTTCATGCTAGAAAGAACTCACCAAAAGACTTAACAGATATTTTCCATTTATTCTGTTCAATGTTTAAAAGGCCACATTTAAATGAATGATTGCTGCCTAAATATACTATAGTTATAGTTAATATATATATATATATATATAATTGAATTTTATATATATATATATATATATATATATATAATTCAATTCAAAACATCAAACTTTTGACAAAAGACAATATTTGTCAAAAAACAGTTAAAATAATGAAAAATTGCTCAATACAATTTTCAAAAAGAAAAGATGTAGAGCAACCCCAATATATATAGAAAAGTAGACACTGATGTCAACACCTAGCAACAGTAGTCTGTTTCATGCCTGAATGCAATCTTCAGGCCATAAAGATTGCAGTCAAACATGAAACAGACTGTCGCTCTGTATCTGTATATATATATATATATATATATATATATATATAATGTGAAACCTTGTTCTTTTTACCCATATAGGTACTGACCAGGCTCAATGTTGTTTAACTAAAGAAGACACACATAATGTACACACACACATATACACACAATACATTTTTCTATGTTTACATATACAAGCACTTATGCTTATGTTTTCATTAACCATAGCTTAATTTGACACAAGGCAAAAGTTTTAAAAGTAATGGTCTATAAAATTAATTTGATAAACATATAAAAGAAGGCACCATCTATATATACATGGTACAGCAGAAATACCTCCCAGAAATACCTCCTATACAATGGCAAGACATTAGCTAGATGAAGATACTATTGCCACTAATGTCTTATCAGTACATGGGAAGTATTTTTGCCACATCCTATATATATATATATATATATATATATATATATATATATAGAAAAATGCATATAATTAATGTTAGTATCTAAAATAATGGGATCTCTGTTTGCATCTTTTAGCAATGATCTATCATTTTTTTTATATTGTTTTTCCTGTGTTTTAAATAATTGTTACATATTAAATGAATCAGTAGTCAATAGAATTAAATAAGGCAATGCTGTGTCAGTATAATCAGGTTATAAGGATTTTACTAGGAATTTCAAACAGACTGTATCTTTACCCATGATTTAAAAGAGAAACGTATTTGAAACACATTCTCTTTGAGAGAATCTACAGATTCAAGATGGAGAAATACATAATGAAACTAAGAACAAAAAGGATTCATAATTTTTTGCTTTTGATTTCTTTTGTTAACAATTTATTGATATTAATTAGGTAATTAATTTTAATGATAAATATTGATTATTTTTGGCAGTGTTTGCGACAGTGATAGTGTAATTGATGAAATAAACACATTTGTATCTGTGCTGATCAGTGTGTTACTGGGCTTAGAGATAATTAATGGAGGAATATATTTGGCCAAGAAGAACAAATAGATATGAACCAAATGACATAGATAGATAGATAGATAGATAGATAGATAGATAGATAGATAGATAGATAATGAACAGATAGATAGATAAATAGATAGATATGAACAGAATGACATAAATACATAGATATATAGATAAATATGAACAGAATAAGATAGATATGAACAAAATTACATAGATAGATAGATAGATAGGAAGTTCTCAAATTACTTTTTTCCAAGAACTTCTACCTTATGAAACAAAAACCCACATGGATGCTTCTCTGAATATTTCGATCTTAACCTTAACTCAAGGTTCAATCCTTATCTATCCCCCTTATCCTCATAATCTTCACTTCCTACTTTTCCCTTTACAATCATATCCCACACCTCATTCAGTAATCTGTAAACAGAAAAGTTGTACACACAAATCATCATTTAAGCTAACAATACTGCTATATCAAAACACATGGCAACTACAAACTAAAAGACATCAAAAATATCATGGAGAATAAGAAAAACAAAACCCACTCATAGAAACTTCTCAAAATAATGTAAACTTTGCCTAGAAGAGAAAATAGCAATAATTATCTTCCCAGAACAAGCTAAACACATAAACAAAAGAACATAAATTATTTTCAAATGCAAACATGAAAACAAATTCCTTCCATGCTACCTACATCCACATCATAACCAAAAAGACTAAGTTAACATCATATAACCCAACTTTATTCTTAAAACCAAAATATAGAAACAAAAAAAAAATACATGAAAAAATATACAAAACTAAATAATTTAAATGAATAAAATCCTAAATTACAAATAAATAATATCTATACATATAAATAAGCAATCTGGATGTCATAATCATAAATCAACCTAGTCCATTTGCATACACACTTCCTTCAACTGCCCAACCAGCATAAATATTCAATCTAGAAATCATAACTATAAATAACCCTCAACATTGATCCTAAAACAAAGAAGCTGGGAAGGGCTAGTTTCTTTTTGCCCAATTCCATTAATCCCCTTATGGAACATATACACAACCTGCCATATAGCCTGCTAAAGAAGGAGAGGCATTTGGTCTGAAGATTGTATTGACATGTGATACTGACAGTTACCAGGCAGTGTATAAACATTCTCTGATTTCTCCTACATAAGGAGGATGCAAGTTTAAACCCTGGCAAAGGGTACATGTTCTTTATTAGAGAGCCTTGAAAGATGTTGATTATTCTGTT